CCTTTTTATTTAATTAATTTTTTTTTAATTTTTTTTTTAATTTTTATTTAAAAAAAATTCACTTAACTTTATTGCTATCACACAGGAGTTAGCTAACAAGCCCCTGTGTGATAGCCTTTGGAGGTGACAGGTTCTCTTTATTGAACCTGTCACCTCCAATACAGGAGTTCTAGCACAGCTCTCCCCTCTCACTGTATACACGGAGCGGCAGGGGTAGTTTTAACACTGCCGCTCTGCTCCCCACATCTGCGGCCAGTGAGGAGAGACTCGGCGGCCCGGGGGAGGGCGGAACCAGAGGAGAGAGGTAGGTGCGGGGGGAGAGGGGAGGACGGACAGGCTGCACAAATTTTACACGTGATCGCGGCGACATCGCCGCCATCACTTGTATACGAACAAGCGGCTTCCCCACACTACATTTAATCCTGCCTTCCCAAAGCAGTACTAAATGTAGAAGGCAACTTACCGCCCGGCGACCGGAACTTTATGTTCTGGGCGTCGGGGGATTCCAAACCGCTGCCGCCCCTCTGCGCCCTGCCGCCCCGAGGCGTGGCCTTGCGGGGAATCTGGGGACACCCCTCCAAATCATTGAATTCAGGATGCCCAGGGGTGTGTGATCCACACAGGGTGACTCCATCAGAGGGGGCGACACCAACCTCTGAAAAGTCAGGTACTCAGTCATGGACCAAAAGCGAACAGCTGATATAGTCCGGTCATGCTGACTAGTATAATTTTTGACTGACTGGTGAGACACCCTAAAATGTGTCAAGCCCTGATAATAATATAGATGTACATGGTTCTTATTAGGCACATGTTCTTATATCGGGGGTTCTGAGTTTTGATGGCGGCCCACTGCAGGGCTTAATTTTGCTTTAACACTCTGCGACTTCATTAGCAGCATTCCGATAGGACAACCCTGAGGAAGGCGGGGCTTATTTCCCAGGATCGTATTGGCTATTGCAAAATAAATACCTGGTTCAGCACTGAATTCTGCCCCTCTGGGGAATGCTCGTCAAGTAATGAATGACTTTGATTAGGTAGTCATACAATCTGATGCGTTCCTCCCTGAGAGATGATGAATTGCAGCGAATTGCAGATCAAGAACGTGCGGTCAGAGGAGGCAGAGGCTCACCTAAGATTATGCAGGAAAAAGCTGTCAGCTTCAAGCTCCATTCAGATCGGCTTGTTACAGGTTACATAGCAGGGAAAGCCTCCCCACTGTGTAACCTGTCATGGACGAGCACTGCCCAGGGAGCGCTGCATCCGGCTTTTCACAGGTAGTTAGGTTACACAGCAGCGGGCTTCCCCACTGCTTGTGTAAGCTAACTTGGTGAGGCAAGAGCTGTCACAGCCTCTTCTCTGTGTTAGAGGCGTGAGCTCTGTGGATGGCTTGGACCAATAGCAAAGCGCCATTGGTCCAGGCTGTCCAATCAAAAAAAAGAAAAAAAAAAACTAGTGAGGACATCGATCTTGATGTCTCACCAGTGAGGGACAGGGAGGCTTCCCCCTCTCCACACAGTATGGTTACCGAGGTGGGGGCAGTGCTGCGGCGGGACGGAGCTTCGGCGGGCT